TAAGGTGTTAAGATACTCACTTTTTGCTTTTACCAAGTTCATGTTTTAATATAAAAATGCACGACTAATTTTTAATTCCTGGAATTTTACACAACTTGTTTCAATAATTTATCATGACAATTATTTCCAGACTTTACAAGAAAAGTATTTTGAATTTATTTGTTTGCCAGCAAAAATAAATTTAACACAAGCACCTTAATGTGTAATGATTGATTAGAAATTTTACTATAATGGAATTTCATTTGGTGATTATGACGAATACACATAAACATGCCAATTTTGATATGCTTGAACTATTACGAGTTTACGTTAGTGGGAAAATGAGAGCGAGGATCGAGGATCCGGTGACACGACATGCTACTCTAATCCGAGCGTCCCAATCCCCCACTGAAATAAAGAAGAAGACTTGATATGAAGTAGAATCTGTATTCTACAAGCATCCAGAAAGTACGAGGTCCGAGTCCAGAAGAGAATCAGGATCCCGGACTATGGATCCGGGTCCGGGTCATAATGTGCATTTATACATTTAGGTCGAATAGGAAACAGCATCGAAGTCTATGACATTGACAGTTAAAATGACCAATAGGAAACAACATTGGAGTACGTGACATAGATATCTAGGACGACCATAAAATTGACCAGTAGGGATGAACCAATAGGAATTGAAAAATAATTCTCTTAGGATATTAGATATCTTAACAGTGGTATTCTATTTTCAAGATTTACATGGACATTTTCAATGAACACTCAGTAGAAATGTTCATGAAATCAATGTTTAATGAACATCTATTTCTTTCTTTACGTGTAGAATGTTCTATACATCAAAAAGAAATAAATTATCAATTTTTGGAATGTTTGGTGTGCATACTTAAATCCAAATCAATTCATACACTCCAACTTAAGAACTAAAATGTGGATTGTACTAAAGCAATAATGGCATGTAGCATATATTGACTTTCGTATTGTTTATGTGAACTTCAAGATAATTCTTTCCCCAAGTGAACTTAACCTTTGAAAGAAAAAAATCGAATATTTAAACACTGAATGGGGAAATGTCAGTTTCAATAATAGTATTGTTTTGTTTAAATATTTGAAACGTTGTTGTAGCGCTGATGTGCTTGATCTGAAGCAATTTTCTTTCTTTTGAATACTTATTTTGACTACTTAATAATAAAAAGTAGTTAAATTAAGAAAAATATAGTATTTCAACTCGTTTTCTAAATTTTTACCAGGGTTTTTTAAAATAATCAAAAATTTTTTTTAAAATTTTCACAGCATTTTTTAAAATTCTTTATAATCCTTAAAATGTCAGAAATGAATAGGAAAAATAATTTTATTTCAAATGAAAAAAGAAAAAACCTCATAAAAAAAAGGTTATTGAAGATGGATACAGTGTTTTACAGATGCGGAATTACTTGTTTTTCCTATTCATTTCTGACATTTAAAGGATGATAAAAAATTTTAAAAACACTTTTGGTTAATGTGAAAAACCCTGTTAAAAATTTCAAAAAACGAGTTGAAATACTATGTATCAAAAAGCTGTTTTCAAAGAGATATAGAAATTTGATGAACTAAAAATGAAATCACAATTTTTATATCCAAAAGACTCAGATTTTTATGTTGGTCGATAAAATTGTTTTAGGTTATGGTAATATTCAGTGATATGATTAAAATTGAGTATCATAGTACAGATCAGTTTACCCTATCTTGAGATCTCGAGTTTTGGCATTGTTTTATACTTTATAATCTTTCTTTCTGAACTGTATACTTAATGTTTAGTATATTTTTTTAATGTTACTAAAGCATCTTTCAACTTGTTGTTCATACTGACTCTCCCATACGGCATGCTGAGGTGATTTGACCAATTCACATTTGTGTCCATTTTAATTGGCTTAGTCAATTGACCTACAATATAAAGTGGATAAAATACTAATTGTCGTTAGTAAAAATCACTCTTGTATAAATCTCTCTCTGTGTGCCTACATGAATTACTATGAGAATTTTAAATACTGATAAAGCAGAATTCCCTATGAATTGTAGTCTTGGAATTATTTCAAACACATTTCAACTAGTAAAGCGGTGAATAGGTAGCTGATCGATAATGGGAAGCTCCCATTCAAATGTAATTGTGAGTGTTATATTCATCAAAATTTTTGTAACCAACAGAATGATACCACAAGAATTGGACTTTTATATGTGTATCCTCGTGAATTAATAGAGCATGATTTCTAATACAACCAACTGTCAAATTATCATATCCGCTTATTCAGTGGTTAATAGTGCTTAAAATATATCAATGTAGGTCATTTTATCTGTCTATAATGACAGTTATTAGTTAAGACTTCAAAAAACTAAACATTTTATTTTAATAAACTGTACATATATGACAACGAAGCGCTTATGACTAGTAAGAACTAATTTTTTTTTTAGAAATTCACTGTGGTCGTCAGTATTTAAATATTAGGTATATTAAATTGCTTTCCTAAAAGTTACTTCAAGAATTGATTTCAGTTACATCAGGAAGCACTGAATATATGTTTCATTTTAGTATGGTTTGCTCCATTTGGCTCATATTCGATCAAATAAAGGATTCTTTGCAGGTGGTTCATTAGGTCACTGGTTGTATGGACTATTCTCAGTTATAAATAACTTGTAACCAAAATGACAACCAGTTTTCTAAATCAAGCCAGATGAAATTTAGCTGCGAAGAAGAAGTTACATTAATATCAGTGAAGTATCGTTTATAAAAGTTGTCTGTCTTATAGTTTGAGCCTTGTAAATCTTATGATTTTAAAAGCAGAAATATCGGTAAGATTCTCTATGATAATAATATTTACAGATTACATCCTTGTTAGCAAAGCACTCAGATAGTTATGGTGATATCTGTAGCTAAATGGACTAAATTACCAGTCTTTGGTTTGAAAGTAGAACTAACGAACAAAAGTTTATTTTGATAGAACAGTGAGAAGACGTAATTGATCTGAAAAATGTGATGTATTTGCGCTGTACATTTCGAACAATCTGGTCACACATACAACACATTTTTCAGATCAATTACGTCTTCTCACTGTTCTATCAAAATTTATAAAAGGGACTAATTGTTTTAAATTTCTGAAAAGGTTTATTTCATTAGGCTGAACTATGTTTTTCTATATAACGTACAAAGTGTTTATGAGTGACTCCTATTAAATTTTATCAAAACACAAATTCTGTGTTCAGTTTAAACGTTCTAATTCAAGGGGGAAAAATTATATCGAAATTACAAAATATCTCAAACGGTACTGCTTGTGATACACAGTCAAAGGTTTCTCTATCATAAAGTAGCATATTGAACAACAAAAGAAATGGGTAATAAATAAGTATTTGGTACTTAAGAATCAACAAGTGCATTACCAACCTACTTCTTGAGAGAAGTAGGAGCAATTATTGATACAAGAAGTAAGAAGGTGATTACAAAGTACGGCACACTGACAATACATGAAAGCAGCGAAGTGGCTGAGGTTAGAGTAGCAAAAGAGGACAATGAAAAGAAACAGAACATTGACGAGGTGCTCACGAAATATACGAAGTTGTTCACGGGAGACGGAGAACCGTACTGGTTTTGTAATAAAGATAAACATGAAATTCCTATAAAGAACGGAGAAGTGACCATCTTCACAACACGACGGGTCCCCGTACATTTGGAAGCTGAGATAAACCAGCAGGTACAGGAGATGTTAAAGGCAGATATAATTGAAGAAGCAGATAGCCCGTACAGCTCGCCGGTACTTTTGGTAAAGAAGCCAAATGGAAAGTATAGATTCTGTGTTGACTTTAGAGAACTGAATAACGTGACAGAAATAGAACCATGTGCAATGCCATCTCAAGATACGATTCAATATTTTTGTTAAAAGATTCGAGCAACTGTTCAGGCAAAAACTGTCAAATGTCAAAAATTCATGACAGTAATTCTGCCGTAACTTCAAATTTGGTCAAAAACGATGAAATTTTCAATGGCTTCAGAATAAATAACAGTAAGATTAAAATAAAAAGGTAAAACACTGACTACAGTCGAATACTAATGACTAAATAACATAAAACGTGCTTAGAAGAGTCTCGAGTAAAATTTAAATGAAAAATTGGATCAAAGAGCAAAAAAATGACAACACTCTATCGTACAGCACTATGGAGGAATTTTCAGAGTATTATTTCCATGACACTGGCCTTCAAAATCCCTCCAGATTCGTGAAGATAACTATAAATTCATTTAGTTATAACTGTCTTGGCTAACTTGTCTATGCTAATGGAAAATACAGGACTTAAGACGGTACGCCTGTACATACATAAGCCTAGCCTACAACCTGTAGTCAGTCAGCTTCTTTTAGAAGACAAAGCAGCCATGAATCCCTTCTTACCACCCCATTCTTTCATATGTACAATCACTGTTCATACCAGACCATTTCCATCCATCTCGCACATATCAACCGGTCCCACTGTTCACTATTCGTGAATGGTAACATCAGTAGTCATTAGCACCACATCCCCTTTCCTTAAGTTTCTGTGTTCACAAAACCTTTTCTATTTTACTTGAAGCAACGAGATATATTCTTTCATCTTAGCAGTTTACCTATCTCCATCGTTTCGAATACCTATTCTCAAGAGTGCACCCCATTCTTAAACCATCACAACATCCTAATAGCAGAAGGGTGTTGAGTGTGAACGCCAAGTCATTGCTTTCATTTACTGTCACATGAACGATAGGGTGGTTGTTCAAGATTCTTTCTACAAAGTAGATGACTAAACTGTGGTCGTGCAGGAGTAGTTCGTTATTAACAGATAGTATGATTCTTCTAAAATAATGTATCAGGGTTATAATGACTTGAATATTATTCATTTGTAACATTCGAACATGGACGAAAGGGGCAGAATGCATGAATGTTTTTCAAGTATTTTATTGACCTTGTTAAACATAATTCAATGTATTCAATTGTTTTATTCATTTCAAAATGTTTTTTTTTTAGCACAGTCATTTCTGTATTTTTATCAATCCAACCGAAGACAGAGAGCTGATAGGTGATATAGAACAATCAACATCATCACGAAACATAAAAACTGATGAATTCGATCATTTTTATGATCATTTTGTCAATGGTACACTATTTTCATTGAATAACCAATCATATGAATATAATCAAACAACAGCTTGTAAACATTTACTTGGATTTCATAATCTGTTCAGTGAATCAATAGAAGGCAAACAAACAAAATCATCAGCATTTTCAATTGCACGTAACATAAGCATATGGTTAAGTCATCAAAATTTAATCATTTTCGGTTTTATTCCTTATACTGTTACAATTATATTTAATGTTTTATTAATTCATTATTTAAGATCACTTCCATGGTTTCAACCAAAACAAAAGTGTAATCATAAATTATGTTTTAAAAATTGCGCGAAATACGATTCAAAAATATTGATGCATTTAAACAAATGTTGTATAACAATGTTTCGACAATCCAAAAAAGACAAGTTTAAAAATGACAAGAAAATTGAATCATATAATAATGAAACAAATATTCAACGATCATTCACTCCTTGTAAATGTATATTACGTTCAGAGAATAATCCAATTTTGATTGGTACAACATGTTCTTATTCATTGAATAAACGAAAACAAATTCATAAATTAGTTAAAATGTTTGATAATGAAAATAATCATAATCAAAATATGATTACAATGTATTCTCCAATGTTTAGTCATTATGTAATCCAATCATGTATTGCACCGCATACTTGGGATGGTACATTGAACAATAATAATAATAATAATAATAATAACAATAATACAAATAATAACATAGAATTAAAACATTTTCAATCTTCAATTCTACATGAAACATCATCAAATATTTCAAGATATTCATATTGTGTTTCAATAAAATCAAATAATTCACAAAGTCGTTTATATTCTCAACATTTCGATCATGATGATGTTGATGATGTTGATGATGATGATAATGATAATGATGATGCATTCAATGATGGCTGTCAAAAAAACAATAATGAAAATATCAATTCCATTCATTATTATTCACGATGTAAACATCATTGTAATTCAATGTCTAATAGACAAAATACTGATCTACATATTTTAATACATAATTACAGATCGAATTCAGTGAAATCCGGTTGGTTTGTTGGTCAAACACGTACAACTATTTTACTATTAGTTGTTACATTTACATTTATTGGATTAACTCTACCATATTTAATTTATGTTGAATTAAAACAAGTAAGTTATTGTAAAATAACTAACTAATATATGTACACATGTTTAAATGATTTGTTCTGAATATTATTGTCCTCAGTCAGTTTTCATTGGGACATTCTCCTATATTTTTAATCAAAGTTATTTGATCTCAATCATTATTCTATAGACTTGAGATGATTTAAACAAAGCCTTGTCAAAAATCACTGACTATTAGTATAGGAGAAATGTTGTGGAGATTGTAGTATTTTCTTTCAGAATAACGAAATGATTGAAAACCCTGAAGCACGAGATGGTTACCTCGTTCCAGTAGGACACTCCTCAGCAGTGCGCATCGATGATCTTGCGCGCGGGAACCGGAACTCAGAAAAACAATCTTGTGCTTAAACGCTAAACTCCTAAACCACTAAATTGGAATCCGATAGTGTTAATATATAATGTTAATCAATTCATGATGGAAAATTTATCCCATATTAAAACAAAATGGCCGCTTAGTACTTCTAGAATTTCAATGGTGATTTATATTGAATAGATTGACGATTGACTAAACGTCAAGTAAACTTCTACATCTAATAAAAATTCAGCTTTTTAAAAATAATCACATAAAATCATCCTAAAATTAACTACTAGAGATACTAGCCCTAATTCAGGTCTCATATGGTTGAAAAATGGAAATTTCGGAACCGCGAAAAAATCATTACCGGACATGAGACAAAGGGTATTAGGTGAGTTTGGGCTTGTTCACATCAAGTTGGGCTGCATCTCCTGCCATCCTATTTCATATATGTGTACACCATATGCTGTGCTGTTATATAGAGCTGAAGGTCTCCTATGAGACCAGAGGTTCTCTGTGAATATTTTGAATGGCTTGGCATTGCTTTGGAAAGCATCGTTAACAATCCATATACAAAGTTGGTTAGCAGGGTGACCAATTTCATTGATACTAGTGGTTGTTTTGCACTATTCTCGAGAGCTATTGTCATTGGACTGCTGTATTGCATATCACCATTTCTAATAATAATGAGTTTGACAGTTATGTAAGCGTGATCGGTCGTAATGTCCTGTTCATGCGGTGCATATTGATTGACGCGATCATCGATCGGCAATAATCACTATATATGTACTAGTGTATATAAATGGTGTGAATGATCCACCAGGGTATCAGGTTCCTGTGTGGTTGTACGTCACAAGATTGAGCCGAACTGTTCATGCAGAAATGGTAACTCATGAAAAGTCTCCTTGCTTCCTCTGAAAACCAATGTAAAATTGCTCTTGACAATAGAGGGTTAATTTGTATAAAATTATGATAAAAAATTAACTACTATTTATATGCATACGTATAGGACAAATATGATATCTTATTTTATTTTAATTATTTTAATTACCGAAATATAATGATATTCTCATTGTAATTACACTACTGTACGTGTATTGAATTCTATGCCTAACTCTTCAGATGTATATATTAATGTCATTGACTTTGCTTTCCACCTTGTAGATAGTTTCATTGAACTTAAACTGTGAGAAATTTACTTGGTAGAATATTTAATTACTAACCATGATCATATTATTCACAATAAATTTGTAATTTAAAATCAAACAAAGTTTTTCAAAACGGTTTATAAATGATTCAATAGGATGAAGTATTTTAATTCACAAGGATACAATTTTTTAGAATTAAACCAAAATGACTTCATTGAATTAGAAGCTTCTTTACCCATTAAGGAAATCCAGAACAGTTGGTGAAAACACTTTTCATTAAAATCATGAATTGATCAATGTTAGACCAGCATTAGAAACCTAGAAGCATTTCACGGCAGCTTCATCCTAGTATGGGACTCTTCAGCAGTGTGAATCTACAACCTACGCTCTCAGGAATCGAATCCAGGATATTCAGTCTTGCGCGTTAACACTTAAACTTAAGACCACTGAGCTAGTGGCGTTAGTGTTTAACTTCAATCAATCCATGGCATTGTGCGATCTCATTGATTGTCTTCGGTAGATAACAGTTAAGCTTCACCGGTCACGAATTCTCACTAGAATTCCGAGAGTTTCTTTACGAAGCTACTCACCTGTAGGCACATGATAATTTTCATTGATCAGAGCATGATTTCAATGGGACTCAACAATCTTCACAACCCTATAATGAAAAAAAAATACTTTTAATAAATGAAGCTTTATGAAAATAACTCGTTACATTTTTCTCGAGCCTTACAGAACCTCAAACTGGCCTATACTTGTATCAATTATCATTTGATCATATCTTCGTCTTTAAGATGTTAAAGTATGATAGAGTGTGGATTGTTATTGTCAGGCATATTCACTGTACATAACCTGAGGCTGTATTCTTTCTTAACCGAAAAAATTAATAAACTGAACTACTCTAGAATATTTTAAAATATTTCATCGAATCTAAAAATCTTATTTTTAAAATTAAACAATATAATCATAAATCAATTTGTGATAAGCATAAGAACAAAATGTATCCATGTATATTTACTACTATGATACAACAGTAAAACAACTAAGCAAGAATTTTAAATATCCCGATTTTCGATAAAGCACGATATGTTTACCATTTCAAAAAAAAAATCTTTCGTCCCCAATGTTAGTTCATGATAAAAATCTTAACAAAGAAAAAATTAGCATACTAATAAAAAAAGTAAATATTTATTCACGACAAAATAAACATGTTAATCTATAATAACACAAGCATTTGTTCTTTTGTTGGGTGTTTTTTGTGTATTCGACTAAACTGATGTATAGATATATATACAGATATATAGATAACGAGACAAATAGATAAGAAGTGGAACTTGGCAAGATTACAATCAACATAATCTTGGCAGAAGTATTATTTTTTGTGGTGATCACGGGATGTATGACGATCAGTTTGTAAGAGAATAAACTACTGAATAATGAAATAATCATTTACTCTAGTCTTATTTCAGTAATGTATATGTGTGTAATGTTACGTAATATAAATGATGTAGACAATATTTGGCAAGAAAAATAATAATAATTTCATTCATGTTGTTGACATTTTCAAGAGAAAAAAAAACATCACTTTTAAATGGATAATTCCTCTAGTGGGAAATAGTAATCAGAAAATTTGAAAAAAAACAGAACAAAAAAACTAATATAATTGACGTATATATTACTAATTTACTTAAATGTTACTCCATTTTAATAAATGACTCGAAGTTAAATAGTTCAGTTTTAACATTTAATCAGGCTTTGTATTAATGGAATATATATATATATATATATATATACTTTATGTAGAGGACATTCATAGATTGCTTGTCTTCAATCATCGGCGTCTCCGAAGTATTGATCGTGTATTCTGGGACGACCATATAAGCAATGCTGTCGTTAGGAAACAAGTATTAGATAAGGATGGCAGATCAATAGATGAAGTGGTGAACCTTCATCAGTTGAGGTGGTTGAGACATGTGCTGCGTATGCTCAACCTCCGACTGCCTCGACGAGCTATGTTTTGTGGTGTAGGAGTAGGTCGGATGAAAGTTAGGGGCGGCCAGACCAAAACATTTCAGCAATCCATGAAGTCACTGACAAGTTGATTGAGTCATGTTGGTAGATGTAGGCTACCTGGTTGGGGTCGACGAGACGAAAGTCACCGATGTTTAGAGACCTTGAATGACATGGCTCAAAATCGTTTGCAATTGTGCAGGTGCATTTATTCTTTGTGTTCTCTCAAATTCTAACCTTCTGAATTCCTCATAATCTCTATCTTTCTCCTTCTAAATTTATCTCACTGAATTATACTTCTCAAATCATATCTTCGCCCCCTAATCTTCTCTGCTGCTAATAATTCTACTATCTCTATCACTCTTGGATTTGAACTGACAGTGACGTCTCTGTGCTAATGCGGTATGGAAACCTGAACTGATGTACGTACGTACGAAGTTCTCTGTTGTATCTGTCTGTCTGTTTACCTACATATACTTTATATTAGATTAAAGAATATTAGTAAAATAACAGCAGTTAGTGTGGGAGAATGATAAACAAATGTTCTAATGGTTGACTATTATGTACTTGTTAACTCTCAGCAAAATTCTTAGAGAAAAACTGTAGAAACATGAAGTTTCTAGGACATGAGAATCGAAATGTAAAGTTACATAATAACAAAATGTTTCGTAGTCATCAATTTTAATGGCCCATGATTTTGACTCCAATTTGAACGAACGTTTATAAATATGGTATGAAAATAAATCTTCCATTTAATTTCGTATATTGTGCACTTAAGATAAACCGGTTTTTGTGACGATAGTAATGAAAAGCTGAGTTAGGATTCAATTAAATGACTTTATTTCGTGTACTTGTTTACGCAGACAGACAAAAAAAAATAAACAGAGAAGGTAAGCGCGCCATCGCCACTTAACTACTCATTATAAGCGTTCATATAGCCGAAAGTGAATAATGTGTAAGTGACAATAAGCCAGACATTGAATAAAGTAATGAGTGATAGATGCACACACATAAGTCGCATAAGTGTAGAATCCCAAAGACATGAGTACAAGAAACACGGTGCTAAAGGTCACATTCTTCAATACAAAAACTTAATAATGACCCAATAACCACATGTTATATGACTTAATAAAATCTTTCCAAAATCTATGATGAATGATAAAAGTATGTCATGGTACTGAACGCCACAACAACTCGTACAACTACGAATTTATCGTCTCACTGAGGCCATCGCTAACAAAAGGTATAGATCGAATTGAAAATATTTCAAAGGAAAATAGTTTGTTGCTTCGCATCATTGAGTAGCATCTTTTATCACGTTAATAATAAATTCCTTTACTTCATTTTCACATCAATTGGTTACATTATTTTTAAGCTTTATGTATTTTTTTTCTGTTAATCTATCCATATTTTAAAGTTGTTGTTGCATAAAATTTCACATCAATTTTCATCTACATGATATGCATTATGGGGTTGTGGAGATTGTTGAGTTACTTATAGAAATCATGAATCGATCAATGTTAGACCATTGT